GTTGCGTGCGTTCTTGGCCACCACCTGGACGGTCGCTGTCGCCTCCTCGCCTCCCAACCCCATCCTGCTTTCTTCGGTGTCGCTGTCTTTTGGGCTCTCCCCCGGCCCGTCGCTCTTCCTTCCTTTTGCTTTCCCACCTCCTGCCTGCCCCTGCCCCTGCCCCGGCGCTCAGCAAGCCAAAGCAATCATGGAGGCGCGGTGGGTTCGTTCCTGACCTCCTCCCCGTAGTCCGCCGCTGTCCCCCCTCTTCGACAAATCACGCCGCGCCTTTTCTTTTCTTTCCCAGTTTCAGGTGTTGTTTTGCCACTAGCTGCTGCTGCTGGCTTTTTCCCAGCTTTCGCTTTTCTGCTCTCTGCATCATCAGCCTCCTCGCCCCTCCCCGCGTCGTCTCTGCTCAGCTTATTCGCTTTCTCTTCCGTTGGGAGACGCGCCTCAGAATCAGGTGCTGCTGGCCGAGTTCCCCACGTTCCTTGTTCTTGCCAGGCATTCGCTCCAATTTTGCCCAGCCAGGCCTTCGAGCCGATCGATTGGGGGCACAAACTCTTGAGACTTTTCCTGCTTTGAGGCAGCTTCCTTGTTGGGTTTTGCTGCTGCTCTGACTTTGCCGGCGAATCCGGATGCTTCTGGGCGCTGCTGCGAGGATGGAGGAGAAGGGGGCGATCACGGGGAGGCAGCGGGACCAGTTCCCCGTCGGCATGCGGGTCCTCGCCGTCGACGACGACCCCGTGTGCCTCAAGGTGCTCGAGACCCTGCTGCGGCGTTGCCAGTATCATGGTGGGCACTTACTTGCTTTTGCTTCATCCATCCATCCCCATTGTCTTATTACTGTTCTATTATTATCTGCCGCTAGGTAGGCTTTCACTTAATTACCAATAATTACCACTAGTCACTTTGTACATGTAGATAGTAAAAAGAAATAATTGTGTCTGCACTGCAACTGCACTTTGTACAATCCGCACATCCAGGACACTGCTTTTGCTGCTGCTGCTGCCTGCAATTTATCATGTACTAACCATCACTTAAATGTTCTCTGCGGCCTGCAATACTTACCACATGCGGAGTAATTTTTTTCCTTCCACGATCTGACATGTTTGTCGCTGGGGCATGCTGCTAATGCAACTCATTATTATCTCATTACTGGTTAGACTGTTGTAATAAAATGATAATAAGAGTGCCCTGTGCTTCATTGACAGTAACAACGACCAACCAGGCCATCACTGCGCTGAAGCTGCTAAGGGAAAACAGGGACATGTTTGATCTGGTTATCAGTGACGTGCACATGCCCGACATGGACGGATTCAAGCTCCTTGAGCTTGTAGGGCTTGAGATGGACCTACCTGTCATCAGTAAGCTTCAAATCTTCCTATTCTGTTCGTTCAAAAGATAAATTCCTGTTCTAGCCAAGCGCTCTTGAGAGTGACAGGGGCTTGCTGAGTAATGCTGTTTCCACATGTAAAATGTGGATGCTAATCATGTACATTCTGTGGCAGTGTTGTCAGTGAACGGGGAGACGAAATCTGTGATGAAGGGGATAACTCACGGCGCTTGTGACTATCTCCTAAAACCTGTTCGTATCGAAGAGCTTAGGAACATATGGCAGCACGTTGTCAGGAGGAAGTTCAGTAAGCGCGAACGCAGCAATCTTGACATCTACAAAGATTTCAACAAGTTACCAAGCACAGATCCATGCCACGGCCACAATCAGATCATTGCTGGGGCTTCTGACCAGAGTGGGAGGATCAGCAAGAAGAGGAAGGAAATGCATAGCGACGAGGAAGATGACGGCGAGGAGAATGATTTCCAAGAAGGTGATGAACCCTCGGCAGCTAAGAAGCCAAGAGTTGTTTGGTCAGTTGAACTGCATCGAAAATTTGTTGCGGCTGTCAACCAGCTTGGAATTGATAGTAAGAACTGTCAGCCCTCCCTTTTGCTTTATGTTATTGTCCTTACATATTGCAGCAACTCATTTATGCTTTGTCCTTTATTTTGCTGTTGTTGCAGAAGCTGTACCAAAAAGAATTCTTGACCTTATGAATGTGGAGAAACTCACCAGGGAAAATGTCGCGAGCCATCTACAGGTATGGCATTGGCATGCACTCCTAGCATTAATTGCTGTTACTGCTTTACTTCCTCCTCTGTCTATTTTTTAGCCTGTGATGCATATGAACCAAAACCTTAATGGGAAGTGGGTCCATCATCATGAGCCAAACCATCAGCTTTTTTATTGTTATAAAATATTCACTTACTTACTTAACTATCGATGAAATCAAGTGTTGCTTACCATAGCTTAGCTTTGTGTTATGGCTGGTGCTAAAATACCATGCCGATGAGTAGATTAAGGTTTTATACAAACTACTACAAATTTTCAGATTGGTTGTATACATAGTACAAAGTACAAGTTTACCTCATTTGCTTATGTGTCCAATTTTACCACCCTCTATCTACCATTTACCTTTAGTAAAAAAAAAGTAGTGGACTAAGTTGGAAAACAGTCACCTACTTATCTCATGCGGGGTATGAAAGTTATATCATGCATGCATATTAGATATAATAGGAAGGTATTGTCCTTGTATATACTATTACCTCTTCGAAGGTAGTATGTGACAATTTCTATTCAGATCGACGATTCACAGTTATTTGGGTGTACCATAGCAAGACCCTATATAAATTGTGGTACATACTTATGTTAATGCCTAATCAGTTAGTGTTTGTGTGATATAACTGTTAGTGTTAGTGCAGAAATATAGGCTCTATCTCAAACGGTTAAGTGCTGTGGCGTCACAACAAGCTAGCATTGTTGCCGCTTTTGGAGGTAGAGACCCCTCATTTCTTCACATGGGAGCCTTTGAAGGCCTTCAGAGTTATCAACCTTTTGCCCCCTGTGCTGCTCTATCATCCTTCAGCCCACACGGTTTGCTAGGTAGAACTAGCGCCGCAACATTTGGGGTCCCAGAACTTGCTCCTGCCATGACAGTTCAAACTGCTACCAACAATGGCATAATAAGTCACTGTGCTGGTGATGCAAACAATTTTCAACTCTCTGGTTTACAAGAAAACCAACAGGCAAATTTGGGACAAAGCTCGGCCACATCTCTTGGGCTGCCCCAACTCCAACAGAAGTGGATCCAGCAAGAAACTAATGATTTATCTGCTGTCTTTTCTGGGAGTGCACTGGCTATGTCTGGTGCACTACAGAGAGTTACAAGCAGTCCATTGCCACCACAAGAACTTTTGGAGAGCGCACAAACCAAAGTTAGCGCCCAGCCACCAATAACAATGCCATCTGTGAGTTCAGAACTTGTTGAAAGGACTGTTGGAGTCTCGGCTAATTTGCAGGACTCTAGTATATCACAGCAGGGTGCTCTTCCAATAAATGATGGATTTACTGCTGACAAGTTACAGTTGCATGATCCATTTGATAGCACTGATGGAACAAAATTTTCGGTAAACATGCCTGTTTGTCCTTCTGGTAGCCTTACAACATCCAGCAATGCCAAGGGTGGTGCTAGTTCTTGCAGTACAGTGCTGCTCGCTCCTGATACTGGGAGACATCCAAACTACTTGCAGTTTGGAGTTGCAGGCAACTCTAGACATGTCATGAATGAAATTAAACAGGACCATCTACATCAAGGATTGAGCACTGGTAGCTTCAACCATAATTTTGGAGCCTGTATGACTGAACAGACAAATCCAAATGTGCCATATCTTATGCCACAAATGAAGCCTAACACCATGGCATCAGAAGATAAACTGAAGCAGAGGAATATTTATGATTTGGGGATTCCAAAGCTCCATGGTGGTTTTAGCTCTAGTAGCTGCAATTTTGATGGTCTTCTCAATTCCATGATCAAAGCGGTATGGACCCTTAGATGTCATTGTTCTTTCTATTTGTTTTTATAAAATTCCTACAGCTTTTCTACATGAATATTTTAACTAGTACTAGTAGGTTCAATGCTTTTTCTGTAGTCTTCACTCTTAATTTTGCAAGTTACAAAGCCTTCCCTAACTTCAGGAATACCTATCTGACATTTTGACCCACTGAAAGTACTTGATGAAACGTTACACTCTTGTAAAAGAAAAATTGTAGAGCCAAGTGACCCCACTGAATATATATGATCCTTCAAATCCGATTTATTGAAGCCTTGTTTTTATTCTAATGCAGGAGAAGGATGATCTCTCATTCACGGATAACGACTTGGGGTGCGACTTCTTTCCACTTGGTGCTTGCATATGAGGCCTCTTAATAATCCCTCGTGCAGATTGGTCCTCTATAGGATGGGTCGATGGGTGGAGATTGTAAAGTACACAATTTAGGAGCATTAGCCAGTTATGCTACCTGATGTGTTACTATGCCTGGTACTGTGCACACTAGAAATACTAGGTATACAAATAGCTAAGGATATGGCTTGTAATCTGCACTTTCTCGTTTTTGGAAGGGAAATGGAAGTGATTATGGTTAGGTAAAAAGGAGCAAGTGTAATGCTCCAACTTCATATCATCATCATCTTCAGATTTACCAAATTTTGTTTCCATGCGACATGCCGACATTTGTGCAAAAGTTGGAGCCCTAAGACAGCACCATTGTGTTCCCCAAAAAAAAAGACAGCACCATTGTGCAGATGACATTATAACCTGATTTGATTTCATTGACTTTCCAGAAGAATGGAAAAAAAAAAAACTTTGTAGATGAGAAGTAAAATCCAGATGCACTTGATCTGGTTACGACAGGAACTAAAAAAGAAGCAAATACAGATGAGAAGTAAAATCCAGATGCACCTGAGACACCATTGTTTAACTGCTAAAAGATACAAGTTGCTGATGAACCCTAGGCCTAGGGTACTGAGACACCATTGCTGTGAGCTGTGATCATCGCCATCCTAGTCAATGAAACCTCTGATTTCTTGCATTCTTCACTCAATGCAGAAATGCATTCTGTCAATTCTCACGTTTGCAAACACTGCGAACAGCTTCCACTATCTTTTGCCGTAATATTGGCTTTGTCAGGTGCAGATCCATCCCGGCATGGCCTTCTCCAGATCCTCCTCCGTGTCAGCCGCGGTCAATGCGATGATCGGAGTGTGAATTCCATAGCGTCGTTCTTCCTCGCGGATGAGTTTTGTGGCTTCATAGCCATCCATATTGGGCATCTAAAATCAAAGAAGAAATATTAGCATTGTCAGGTAATCAATAGATGGAGCTTTGTGTGTGCACATGCAGAGTTAACAAGTTTTGGTTGAACAAACCTGGCAATCCATGAAGATGACATGGTTGGGCAAGGGCACTATTTCCTCTTGTGACAGTTACTCCAAGCTGGTTCAGGATTTTCCTTTGGATTGTTTGCAGCACTACAGTGTCTTCAGCTACCAAGATCTACATCCCGGCAAGAGGTTTATCATCTTCAGGTTTCTGTTCCTGAACCAAGCATGAAGCTTCAGTTGATGCAGCAGCTTCCTGCACACAAGGAACAACAACATCTGGCAAACCTTGCTGCTGGCTGTTGTTCCTAGCAATCTCAGGACCAACTTGAGAAGACTCTGCTTGTGCATCTGAAACCTGGAGGTCTCTCAGGGTCATAAGGAGAGTGAACAGGTGAGACCCATGCACCGGTTTTCGCAGGACGAGATCGCAGCCCTGCTCCTTGAGCCTCCTCAGATCACTGGAAGGGGTCTTGATATCCTCCAGCAGAACAACTTTGCATGGGGCCTCATGCTTGATCCTGGCAAGTTTGGCCATCTCCTGGCAAATTTCCTCCAATCCACCACCGGACACGTCGATGACAACAAGGATACCAGAAGGAGACCCCCAAGGCTGGCTCTCCTGGGACCAGTGCTGTTCCTCAACTGGTTCACCATCTCCTTGGAGCTGAAGCACCGGTCAGCTCCGCCGCAGTCAGCGGCAGCGGTGGCCATGCTATTGCCCTGCATCTTCTCCAAGGTGGAACCGATGAACTCGGCTTGCCGGACCAGCCAGACCTTGACCCCGATGCTCTCCATCCATGTCTGCAGGATCCTCCTGGTTTCAGACCCATGAACGTAGAGAACGCAGTGCACGCCCTTGAAGCTGCTGGCTTCTTGAAACGCTGAGGCTCTGAAATTGGAGCCGTTCAGTGTGCCTGCTGATGGAACTGCCGGTCCTTCTTTATGTCTTGAGGCTGTTGCACCTCGCTCATCTTCAGCAGCACGTTAAACGCGAAGCATGTCCCTCTTTCCCCGGGCTCTTTGTCCTTGATGCTAATATCTCCTCCCATCAAGCGTACCTGTGATCATGAAGACCAACATAATACATCAGCCAAGACCAAAAATTTATTTACAAAGAAAATGAACAGGATTTGTTTATATAGATTTGATTTGAGTAGTAACTTACAAAGGACTGCACGATTCCGAGCCCCAAGCCTGTGCCGCCTTGGCCATTGTTCACTTGAACATAGTTCTCAAACACAGACAGCCTCTTCTCCTTGGGGATCCCAATGCTGGTATCAACCACTTCAAAGTAAAACTCAACCACAGATTGGGGTCATTCTGCACATGATCCTGGCCATCAGGATCCTCCCTTCCTCTGAACAAGCGTGCCAATGAACCGCCGCCGCCGCTGCGCCTTGGGTGCGCAAACCTTGACGGAGCGCTGCGCCGCTTCCGGCGATCGGCCGGGTCGCCCAGCCCCGGAGGAGGACGTGGCCATCGTCGGTGAACTTGAGCGCGTTGCCGAGCAGGATGTCCAGGATCTGCTTGAAGCGCTTGCTGTCCCCGAGGACGGCCGCGCATCGCAGGACCGAGAAGTCGCAGGGGTCCCAGATCACCTCGACTCCTCGCCGGACGCCCGTCACGTTGGCCATGTCCACCGACTCCTGCAGGACGTCGGCCATGCTGAACTCGGCTTCCTCCAGCTGCATCTTCCCCGACTCCACCTTGCTTGTGTCTAGGATCGAGTTCAGTATATCTGCAGAAAACAAATCCATCATATCCATGACCTACTAGGTTCGAATTGATATTGTTCTACAAATAATATATCTCCTGAAACGAAATTGCTACGATCATAGTATAACATTTATACTTATATTAAGTTTCAAAAAAAACATGTACTTATATTTAGTATACGGCAACTAGCCCTGTTTGATAGATAATATGTAGTCTGATTGCTGATGAAACACCTACGAACTCCGTCCTGTAGCTGGCACCTTTCCTAGTTGAACGTTTTAATTGCTAACCTATATTAGCAGCATTAATCCTTCCTATTGTAGCTGAAAAATACAGTAGATCACAATCCTACATTTTTTCTAGTATTAACTGGTGGATTAGTAGACCATATATAACATTAAATTTTAAAAACATCATATATTCATATTAGTTGCACCAATACTCCTACTTTCCAAGCTAGACGATGATGAACAAAGCTTGATGCAAATTACTGTATATTATTAACTAGAGATCAGTCCAGGGTTCAGACTAACCGAAGAGCTTGTTGGTGCAGATGCCCATCTGGTCGAGGTTTTCCACGATGCCTGGGGCGGGGAGCGCCTGCGCCTCCGGACGGGACATATCCACGACGCCGGCGATGGCGGCCAGCGCGGACCGGATGTCGTGGCTGGCGCTGGCGAAGGCGTTGCTCTTGTTCATGCTCTTGCGCTCCGCCTGCCGCAGCGCCTCCTTCTGCCGGACGAGGTCGGCGTTCAGCGCCATCTCCCGCGCTGCCGCCCGCCGCAGCCCACGCACCGCGAAGGCGCACGACACCACGCGAGGACGATCACGGCGATGCACAGGGCCTGGAGCATGTGGCCCTGGACCGGGGGCCGGAGTACCAGCCGGAGCGCCTGCGGGACGCGGACGACGAGGACGACGGCGTCAGGACTCAGGGAAGCATGCATGCATGTGTTAGATCAGGAGAATACAAGCACCGTGACACACCCGGCCGTTGGGCGTTGGCCCAAAAGCCCAAGGGTGTTTTTTTTTTTTTGTGAAAGGAAAATATACATTATTAGCATGGAATGCATGCGTATCGTATCAGCATTTAGGAAAGGAAAATACTCGATCGATGCTATTAAGGATCAAGTAATATCTGATGATCTTCTCGGAAGGATTGCGCGCTGTATGATATATACTACTTGCCACGTCATTAATTGCCAAAAATAGCAGACGCATACGTGTAACACTACTCTTTTTGTTGCACACGTACGTACCACTTGTACTCCAGAGACGTCGAACATGGCGCACGCGGCGTTGTACCGGTTGTGCTTGGGCCCCCGGAGACGAGCTGGCCGAGCTCGGGCGCGGCGTCGTCAATGGCGGAGGCGGCGCACTTCAGTTTGGAGAACGTGAGCGTGTCCTCCGCCGTGTCGTCGGCGGTGCGGTACTGGTAGCCAAGCAGCAGAGGCTCGTAGTTGGCGGTCGCTGACGCGAAGTTGTCCTTGTCGTCGCCGACCGCGTAGTACATGTCCAGGCCGTCCTGGACGCCGATGCGGGAGGCGGCGACCTCGAAGACGTCGTGGACGGCGACCGCTGCCGAGACCAGGGGCGAAGCCAGGAGAAATGGCTGCTGGGGTCGGTACTCGCAGTACCAGGGGCGAAGCTACATTGAGCTTGCCTGGTGCCAATGCACCACGGTAAGGGAAAAAAATTTCCACTAACTGATAAACTTTCACCATATATTTCTACCAAATTATGTATGTCCTCTTAGTAGTGTACCACCATAAATTTATAGTGGGCTTCACTCAACAGTATTAATTCAACTTGTTCGCTTGTTGGTTTCAGTCAGAGCTTATCATCCATGATACAGTGTTTTCCTCTCACAACAAACCAGCATCAGTCAGGCTTATCAGTCCAAAAATCAACCAGCGAACAGGCTGATTGCTGATTGGAATGAAAGAGAACGTTCTTCACTTCATTGCTTGAACGCAAGTTACATACTGCTTTCTGAGAATCTGATTTCGGATTGTATAGCTGGAAAAAAAATAAAACCCTGAGACCTCAATGTTGAGACGATCGTTAATTTAATTACAAATTGCATAATTGGATATTTGTTGTGTGGGTACCTGTACGCTGTACATCTAGATTGAGAGTAGACAGCAGGAGAACACAAGATCGTCAGATTGAGAACGAATTGAGCCATGAGGAGCGGCTGTTGAGCACCGGCCGCCGGGCAGGGGCAACGCCCGCCAGGAAGATTTGGGATGCGTCGGGTACGAAGCTAAGCGATGTTCGGCCATCTGGGCTATCAAGTATTCTCCGTATGTGCAGCATGTTAGCATTCACCGACTCACGTATGTGGAGTTGTGGACATATGGAATTGATGGATCGGACGGGCTGAGCAGAAGCAGATCGATGGACTTTGGACTGTTGCTGTTGGGCTGCCACCTGCCGGGCCACTGGGGTCTCAGGTAAATTTTGCTGGGGTCCAAGCCGGTCAAAATTACTCTGTATAAGGTGAAACGGCAAAGTCGTCGGTGTCGTCGTACCCCGACGCGTGAACGTAGCTTCGCCACTGGCCGAGACCACGCCGCCGGCGTCGCTGTCGACGGGCGCGGAGAAGAAGAGCATCCGGATGCCCGGGCGCGCCCACCCTTCCCAGAGCGACGCCGCTGGCGGCGAGGCGTTGTTCTTGGTCGCGACGAGGGCCGCTGCCGCCTGCGTCGTCGTAGTGTTCGGCAGGAAAAAAACCATCTGTGGCGGCGGCGGCGGCGCTCCCGACCAGGCGCCCGGTCGCCGGGTCCACCGCCTGGGTGCACCACCTCTTCTGCGAGTCCGTGAACAGCGCTCTCGCCTCGTCGCGCTCCGTGCGGTAGAAGGCGAACGCGTGGCCGTCGGCGCCGGCGTACGACACCTGCTGCATGGCGAAGGCCATGAACATCTTGGGCCTCACCTGCCACGTCCACGTAAGCAAAGCAACCACGTGTCAGTTGTGACTCAAGTCGCGTATATATAATAAGACAAAAATGACAACTATATGGAGTGCAGTAATGGCGACAACGGAAATGGAAATAAAAAATAAAGCTAGCTAGCACTTGAGAGATCGAAGCTGGTGATGGTTCGTCGTTGGTCGCCGGCTCCCGAGCGGCGTCGGCGATGGCGGCGGCGGAGCGGTTGGCTTCCAGGAGCGGCTGCATGTTGCCGGCGACGTGCCGGAGCGCCAGACCCATGGTCTCTACGTTGGCTTCATCTATAGTTCTCGTCGTCTCCCTCAAGGAGAGCAAAAGCACCACAAGGCTGAGTACCATGACGACTCCGACGATTGCCTGCATATAGATGTGAACGCGAGTGAGGAAGATTGCTATGACAGTAAAATCCACACATAAACGTTCCATGTGAAAACTTCACTCCTGTCTAATAAAAACTGCGGTGATTTTTTCTTTGTCGTCCTTCTAAAAAAGATATGAAAATCCACCCGTGTGTTCATTTTCTATTTCATGGTTTTCATGCAAGAAATGACCAGGTACAATGTTCCTTGTATCTGTATAATAAAAAGTTGGTTCTAAATATTCTCAAGGGCAATGCTAAGTTTTATAAAAGTAATACTTCTTCTAACTGATAAATAAAGCTCTTGTGTAGCCTGAAAGATGGATGTAGTTTTTTACACCAAAACGATTGTAATATACTGATAGGAGTAAATAAAAAACATAACTAGATTCTCAAAAGTTTCCACCGATACATACTCTCCCCACTCTTCCTCCACCATCTACCACCATGACAGATCTAGAAATATATCCTACGAGACATCCATACTCCAACGGCGATGTGTGTGGGTGGGTGGGTGGGTGGGGGGGATGTAGGGCTCAAGCCTTGGCCACACCTAGTGATGAATCCCGATCCCACCTATCCCGCCCCCACCCCCACACACAAAGAAAAAGTTTGTTCAGCATATTTGTAAAAATGCTCATTTTAACTCATCAAATATTTTTACTAGATTCACATACTATTATAGTAAAAAAATAATTTTAGATCCTGTTTAAGATTAGTCATGGTAAACCAAACATAATAGGAAGCTAGATGCAACTACCGATGCAACAAAAGAGCCATGGAAAAGTGCTCGTGGTCTGTGACTAGATGTCCTTAGACTATCTCCAACGGAACGTACCCAAATCGAAGACCCATTCGATATTTTGAGTCATGCACGGTGAAAAGGTCCTGAACCCAAACCTCGCGTTCTCCAACAGCCTCCCATGGCCGACCCCCTCTCTCCTCAATCTCAATCGGCGGTCACAGGCGAGGAGGAGGTGCCGCGGGGGCCGAGCGGGGATGGCGCGGCGGAGGCTCCCCGCCTCCCATGGCCGACCCCCCCCTCGCCGGCGAGCACCCCCCACCCATCGCCCATGAGCTTCCGCCACGCAGCTGGGCTGGGCCTGCTGCTGCTCCCGTCGGAGCTCCTCCACGAGATCCTGCTCCGCCTCGCCGCGTGGCGCGCCTGCTCTCCAGCCTCATCTCCTCCCCGGACTTCCGCCGCCTCTACCACCTCTCCTCGGCGTCCTCCGGCGGCGGCCGGCCGCCGCGTGGCTGCTCCTCTTCAAGAAGCTCCCGCCCCGCGACGCCGCCATCAGGGGCTTCCACCGCGCTCTGACCCCCGCCTCCGTCTTATCCGAATCAGCGGCGAGATCCGCCCGATTCGCCCCTCGATTTGCGCTGATTCGGCCCGCGCCGGCCTCTAGGTGACTTGCGCCCTCTCCCCCCTTCCTTGCGCGTCGCCGGAGATTTGCGTCGTTTTCTCTCGACGACGCAGATTTGCGTTTCGGTGAACCCCATATGCAAAATGGGTGAGTTGTTTGGGTCTTCTGTTGGAGGGTTGATTCGGTAGCCCAAAACACTGTGCCAGACCTATTTTGCGTTTAGGTCTCGGTTTGCATGCTCCGTTGAAGACAGTCTTACCAGGGGTAAAAGCATACACAAGTACTGGAGAAGGCATTTTCTTGCTTCTCTATTCGTTTCTACAGTCGCCATGACTTTTGCCTACTCGTACTTGTTTTTGCCTTTGACTAGTGAGTTGACGAGTGTCTTTGGGTGGCCGCACGCCGCCTTTTTATAGACGCCCCGAGCTCGGCCGGGAAACTTGGAGGTAGAATACCACTAGCGGTTTGGCTCGACACCGCCTCTGGTTTTGAGCGATCCATGAGCGCGGGTTTGCTCCCTTGTGTAACGGCAGCAAAATGATATAGACTCTATCACCTGCAATTAATATTGGCCAAACTGTAAACAAATCAACAATTCAAAGGATTTTCTTCCCGTTGAGAAATTTGTAACGTGTGTGGACGCGTGGTGTATTTCAGCACAGCACGGGCCGTGCACCGAGGCCTCGGACGTGCGTGTTCACGGCGTGTGCTCGCCAACCACACATCACGCTGGTGAAGAGTGTGAAACTAAGCGGCCCTCAATTTTAAAATAAAATCTTTTTTTTACTAAGCATCCATTTGGCTTAGTTGTTTTACTTCTTAAATTTGCATGATCTTATTGATTCTTATAGATATCCTTTGACTGGGATGTATAGCTGGTTAGACATTATTGCTAGAGATATACATACTAAACAGTGGCTACAAAACCAGAAAACCACTATGAGTGGGCGTAAGTATTGCCCCACAACCAATTTTGAACTTTGACTCGCACTTTGTATCTATGACCAAACATACAAATGGCATGATGTAAAAAGTGTGTAAAATAAAAAAAACAATAGACAACTATACTATCATATATTCAAATATACATGATAGTCGCTAATAATCGAGGAGCAAATAACCTAAATTACAGGATACATGCCATGTCAGTAATTTTCCTTTTGGTGGTTTGATTGACAAGTGGTAGATATTGTTCTTTTTAAAGTATTGCACGGTATGTCACCTATGAATGTAAATATACGTACGTGCGGATTTGTGTACCGGCTTTTCGGTTAAAAGCAATTGATATTAATAAACTCCACTATGGATGGAAGTGAACTCGTACGTTGGTTTTGTCATGTGTTCTTTAGTTGTAGAGTAACGCTAAAGTTAAAGCATGTAATGCGTTACTTGGTCCAAGCATATGGCTATTGTCGACATACGCATTATTTAAGAGATGTCTAAGAACCTTGTCTACGTGACGATTTTTTGCATAAAGAGGACTATTTCATAGAGTGCCACGTGGGGTTCTGACAAACACGACTACCAATTGTCAAGGTTTTTTCTCCTTTCACTCACTTCACCTCGGGAGTTTCTAGGTGGTCTATAGTGTTAGCATCTTTCCCAACAATTTTGATAATTGTCAACTATGTAATCCCCAACAAAATAATTACCCAAAGTTTTATAGTCATTGAACCAAAAATACTAAATATATGTTAGAAAAATTGCAAGTCTTATTGATTCTTATAGATATACTTTGACTGAGATGTATAGCTGGTTAGACATTATTGTTAGAGATATACATACTAAACTGGAGCTACAAAACTAGAAAACCACTATGGGTGGGCCTAAGTATTGCCTCACAGCCAAGTTTGAAATTTGACTCTTAAACTTTGTATGTATGACCAAATATACAAATGGCATGATGTAAAAAAATGTGTAAATAAAAAAATAGACAACTATATTATCTTATATTCAAATATACACAATGTCACTAATAATCGAGGAGCAAATAACCTAAATTACAGCATACATGTCATCTCAGTGATTTTCCTTTTGGCGGTTTTATTGACAAGTGGTAGATATTGTTCTTTTAAATTATTGCACGGCTATGTCATCTGACTATGAGTGTAGGCACCGTACATTATAATAAATATACATATGTGCGGATTTGTGTACTGTTTTTTCGGTTAAAAGCAACTAATATTAATAAACTCCACTGTGGATGGAAGTGAACTCGCACATTGGTGTTGGCGTGTGTTCTTTAGTTGTAGAGTAACGCTAAAGTTAAAGTATGTAATACGTTACTTGGTCCAAGCAGATGGCTATTGTCAACATACACATTATTTAAGAGATGTCTAAGGAGCTCGTCTACTTCGACGATTTTGTGCATAAATAGGATTGCTCCATAGTGTGCCACGTGGGGTTCTCACAAACACACGACTACCAATTGTCAAGGTTTTTTTTGTCTCTTTTCACTTATTTCACCTCGAGAGTTTCTAGGTGGTATATAGTGTTAGCACCACCACTATTTTCTCTAAGTGGTCATCAGTGTCTGTAGTATAACTATAACCTCCATCTTTCCCAACAAATTTTGATAATTACCAACTACGTAATCCCCAACAAAATAATTACCCAAAGTTTTACAGTTAGTGAACCAAAAATACTACATATGTTAGAACAATTGCAAGTCTTATAGTGTTTATAAACTCCACTACTATAGGGCCTCTACCACTCATAGTTGGCTTGCATTGTAACATGACATTTTTTTAGTAAAGAAGATTTTTTTGTGCAAACTCTTTTTTTAGTGGTTAATGCCTTAATGGCCACCGCTTTTCCATTTCATTAACATTAAGAAGAAAAAGAAGAGCGGTAATTACAAATTTGAATAGAGGACGAATTAACTTAAAATTACATGATGTTTGCATTGTGAGGTAGCAAGCAACAATTGTAAGAAAAACAAATATTGAGCCATTTGGGAGGAGTGTGTCTTCCTGAACTGGTTGCAACTCTTGACCATGGAGTTTCAAAAAGGCTTGGTTGCAACTTGAGCCATATGGATGATGATAATCTCTATCAAAATCCGTAACACCAAAATGGAACAAACTTTGAGCTATTTATTTTTAAAAACAAGGAATGTACCTATGGCACATAAAGAGAGGATCTTTGCAGTACTACAGAGAGACTCTAGAACCAGGCTAGTGCTATAGCGTATCTGTTTCCATAGTGAGGATGCCAGGTGTGTGGCACTGAGACGGCCCAATCGCCATTTGGCTTAATTTCATGCATCTTAATTTTGCATGGTTTTATTCAATCTTGTAGATATACTTTGACTATGATGTATAGTTGGTTATACATTTTTGTTGGAGATACACATAATAAATTGCTGCTATAGAACTGTAATACCACTATGGGTCGGCCTCAAGTATTGCCCCACAACCAATTTTGAACTTTGACTCACAAACTTTGCATATATGATCAAACATATAAATGGCATGATGCAAAAAAATGTGTAAAATAAAAAAATATTAGACAACTATACTACCTTACATTCATATATACACAATAGTCGCTAATTATTGAGCCAGAAATGACCTTAGCTACAACATATGTCATCTCAATAGTTTTTTTTCTTTTGGCGGTTTTACTGAGAAGTGATAGAT